GTATTCCAGTGGGTTCTCGTGAAAGTTTCAAATCAGTAAAATCCCTGATGTGATGACATTGCACTTGTTTTCTTCTATGACATGTGATATTCATATTAGGTGGGATAGCGAGGTTTGTTGGTTGTTCTGTGGGTTTAGTTATTACTGATTGGTATTCCACCCAAAAGTGGACATTTGTTTAAGCCGTTACCAACCTCATTATCTTTGGGAAAAAAGACCCCGGAAATAATAAGACCTGCCACTATTGCCGTTATCTTCAATTCCCCTTTTTATTTTTTGTAAAACTTCTTTTAGTCGGGGATGACATTTGATAATTGAGGTCAGTAACAGCTTGACCAAGTTTCCACTTCTGTGTAGAATATCCCAATGGGTTGACTTAATCTTACAAAAAATGTTTGCTTGCGGTACCTGCCGCTCGTCTGATTTGTACGAGCCAGCCGAGCCAGCCGACCCTCTGCGGTGCAAGTGGTAAGATGTCTGACGTAAGAAGCAGGAAGTCGTGGTTTGAGTCCCATTCAGATAAACTTGCGACCTTTGTTGCAAGCCTTTGGATAACACTCAGTACGCAGTGTTGATAAAATATATATATCTGATCATCCAACAGCGCATTTGGCGCCAATTACAGGATGATAATGAGCGAAAAAGACAATGAAGTGATGTTCAGTTTAGAGGTGTAAAAAAAAAGACCCAGATAAATGTTTTGGGGAAAACCCACAGACTCAGGTAGGGACAGAAAACCCAATCCACATGTGGACCGAGCCGGATTCGAACCCGGATCACAGAGGTTAGAAACACTATGCCAAACTGACTCCTTTATTGCAATGAAATCAAGATTTCATTTCAAAATGTAAGGTTGCTGTACATAGGAGGCCCATGGAGAGAAAAGATGAAGAAATTTTCTGCTGTAGAGGTGGGAGGAAAACTCCATGGAATCATGGAGGGACTGATAACCAAATCCACATGCCGACCTCGGCTGGATTCGAACTCGGGTCACAGAGGCGGAAGGGGAGAAAGGTTCCAGGGTGTCAGCCTGACTCCTCCAACCTGATTACCTGCATAATAAAGGTCAACCTTTCTTTTGTATGCGTAGGTTTTCAGATGAGGACGACCTCCTGGGTGCCGGATCAGACCGGTCCCGGTCCCGAGCTGGCATGTCGCCCTACCTGGAGGAGCCTGCGCAGAGACCCAGGAGCGCTGCGGCAGGTATGGTCGGCAGCCGCAGGTCAGGCAAGAACTCCAAGCCCGGCGCGGCTGCCGAGGACAACTGGCTGGAGCTGGCTACCGGAACCGACGGCGCAAAGCCCGACGAGAAATCAGACACCGGAAAACAGAAAGCATCAGCCACTGGTAGGTGGCGTCAAGAAGTACTTCTCATTTATTGTGTGAAAGATCTTGGTTCTTATTGCAAGAATTGCCCGTTGATGAATTATATGTGACCTGTCACCTCAAAATGAGCTGAAAGTTGGAATTTTCAAAAATTGAGATATTGGTATTTTTTAATTCTGCAGAAAGACAGCTCTCCAGTGGTATATACATGGAACACTGTGGGTAAAAGTATAAGGTGATAATGTGACATTATTCTGGCAGCTTTGCGTCTCTGTTCCTGACATTGTTTCAACATTTTAGACCAGGCACGATTGATGCTATTGTCAAAATTGCTTAGAAAATAGCATTTTTACTACACAATCCAGCAAAATATTTGGAATTAAATAGGAGACAGGATGTTCTTTCTAAATATTTCCAAACCCCAAAATTGACCCCGACTTCATTATGATTTTGAACCTACAATGCGACTTTACTCTCATTTTGTCGTGACGGGTCTCATATCAGTCCAATTGCTGTTAAAGCTTGGAGTCCTGCATTGTGGAATGCGAGTGTCCCTCATTTATGGTAACGCGGCACATTTTCAGTCTGAGAGGGTGAAGTATATTTACAACCCAGGAATCTAGGAATACCAGTTGATGACTTAATACTGCACGAGTCAACTATAATTGGATTTGACCCGAGCACTATGCAATACTGTTTACATTTCATGACCCCGTGACTATTAAATGTGCTCACATGACCCCTCGCCTGGTGCTGACCCATTAAGCTTAAAGAACTGTCGTCCTTCTTCACCCCCTCCAGATAAAAATCTGAGGGTGGAGTCATCACCACAGCACAGACCTCCCCTCACCACTTCAGAATCCTCAACAAAACATGAGACAAGAGCCTCCCCTGAGAAAGTAAAGAAAGAACCACCTGCTAGGGTGCCCTCTGCAGCTGACTATCTGGGACTGTCAGACACTGATATAGACTTGGACTCCTTAGTTCAGTAAGTGTTTTTGTTAAGTGTCTGACACTATATCATCTGCCGTGACAAAAGGTGGTTGTTACAATCAGTATATTCGATGTAATGCCTAAGTGACATTAACAGACATTGCAATTGAAAGTCAACACTGTGAATGGAAATGGGAATTTTTGTGAAAAAAATTGCCGTTCAGATTCGCATTCATATTTCTCTCATACTGTTGTGAAAATATTTTCCCACTTGTGTGAAAAGGCTTGAAAATGTTTTCCCACTTGCGTGTTAAGGTGTGAAAATATTTTTCCCGTTCTGGGAAATTGAGAAAAAATTCAAAATGATAATGAAGATGCATGCAATAAATGTGAAAATAAAAGACTATTGTATGGAGAATGCAGGCCTGAAGGGATTTTCCAATCTAACCTCTTGTAAAGGAAATATTTGTATGACCCTCCTTTGTTCCAGACCCAAAGCACTCACTCCAAGCAATGAGACACCCATGGATTCCACCTTAGATGACCCCTTCAGCGCACCTACTAAAAGGGATACAATGTAAGAGAAACTTAGCAGAGATCTTAGAAGAAAAGCTGATCTTTTGGACTAGTTGCTCTTAAAACCTTTCTCTCCGTGCAGGTAGAAAAGGCATGCAACAAGATACAGCTAATGACTTGATCTCTGTTAGTGCCAGATTACCAGTGAATACAAGGCACTTTTCCCTGCTCACCAGGCCACAAACTTACTCTCTCTCTCTCTGGGGGCCGCGGTCTGTAACGCAAAGCTGCCATTTCAGGTATACCAGGGGTTAATGGCCAATGAAACACGATACTCACTCTGCCTCCACAGTTATCATTTCTGCTCGTGGGTGGAGAGAGGCAAGTGGGAGGCAATGTGACTTGTCCAAGGTCACAACATGTAACCGACAGCTAGATTGTACTCCCAACCTGGGTGACTTGTCCTTTTTTTTTATCAGGGGGTTGACATCCTTGGTCCAGTTTGTTTTTTCCAAGTTGTGAGGTTGTAAGCAAGTCTTCAGCCAGTAACTACTGTTTCCACAAGTTCCTTGTTATTCGAAGTGGTTTAATGTTGAAGTCGGACTCAAGCTGCGAAGTCCACTCTGGGGTTAGCATTGTTGATATCTATGTCAAAAGTTTCTTGTGTTTGCTGTTTTTGTCCTGAAGATCACCTTTTCCGTGGGATGGTTCAAGCGGCAGAGCCAGGCCAGACAGGCTACCAGCAACAAGCACGCCCCAACCCACAGGTAAGACCCAACACAGTTACCAAAATTGACCATGATAAGTGACAGAGTAAAAGTTAACCTCTCTTAAACATAAAAAAGCTATTTTTTTTTACCATCTCACAGCTGGGGAGGGGACGGCATGAGGTCAACTACCACCTGGGTCATTTTAAACATTGGGGTCCAACTTTTTTTCACGTCCCTGTCACATCTGACATATGATTTGGTGAGTTCAGAACACATTCTGCAATTTCCAAGAATGATGAATTAATGCAAATTACCTGCCAAACAAATAGAAATAGAGACCGATTTCAGTGATATTTCCATGTCAAATTACACAGGCCGGGTGTAACAGGGACACAAAAATGTCACACTTTGGACTCCATGTTTATAGAATATCAAATCAGTGCTCTGAAATGTGTGATTGCTGAGCTTTCGGTAACTGAGTACCTTCTTCAGGGCAAGCAGATTCAGTTCCATGCCTGATCCATATGCCTGATCGGTTTGAAACTTAGCATGCAAGTAAAGACATTCATTATCAGTGCAAAAGTGAAGTTCAGTAGGACATGTTGATGTGATCCGTTCATTTGAAGTTCATGGGCTCATGTATGTTGGCCCGTGCGCATAGATGATTGAGCATGTCAGTGGAAAACATGTGGAGTTTTGGCTGACCTGGCTTGGAATTACTTGCATTGTGCGAGAATGCCATGTCTTTTTTTTCCAAATTGGTGTCAAACTGACTGCAAGATATTACTGAAATAGAGACCTCCTTGAGGCTCGGTGCATAAACCAGAAAAAAATGTTGAGGGGGTGCAGATTCCACTTCAGCTCTTTTAAGGTTAAAATGGAACGTTCCAATGGATAACTAAAAGTGGACAAGTGATATTGGAACAACTCACTCATAGATGGTTCACAGTTTGAAAGAGATCTGGTTCAGTAAGCACATTCCAAACAGCAACACTGCCCATTAGTATGTATGATATGTGAGGTGTTTTTATTTGGCAGTTGTGCAGACTTTTCGAGAGTTCAAAGTGACAAAATATGACAATTTAATGCAGCATGACTTGGTGTTAGCCTGCCACTAGACAGATTCTCTGGGTATAGTGTTAAGCTTAAAAATATCCCATCTTTCTTAAAAAAAAGGACCACCCATTGTTACCGAAGGTATAATAAACATTCCCCACGAATGTTACACTCGTAAGTGTTATTACACACAATGACATCTCCCAATTCCTCACACCAGAATGTTGGTAAATTGTATTTCTAATAGCAAGTTGGACTCTCCAGCAAAATACTGAAATAACTTGTACACTTTGTCGTACTTTGCTCCATCAGACAACGACAACTTTGACGTAGACGAGGACGTGGAAGAAAAAGACCCACTGCAGACCAGCGTCATGGCGCAGCAACTGCAACAGCTGCAGAAAATGGAAGAGCAACAGCAGCAGTGGAAGACACCACCTGCCAGGCAGCCATCTAGCGACAGGCTCCCCACCACTCAGCAGTCAAAGGTACAGACCCCCCAGAGCAACCCGCAGATACAGGGACGCAGAAACAAGCACAGACTGGTGAGTTCCTCAGCTATGCCCTCTTTGTCTATTCTGCTTTTCTTGGCACCAATTTCCGATCCACCGTTACTATCGCTGCTCTGTGTCTTTGTGAACCATAACTGAAAATTATCAACACTTGCAGTTCACATTAGGATGCGTGTCTTTCAACTGCTTGTAGGACCCAAGAAAGAGCCGCAGTGGCGACAGCAGATGAGACAAAAACAGCAGCAGCAGCGGCAAGACGGAACCGACATGCAGCAGCTCAACAGCAGCGGGACTTGGGCTGGCATGCCAGAGAAGAACGCTGCCATGCCATCCACAGGTGCTAGACAGCAGGTGGGCGTCAAATTGAGAACGATTCCCAGTATAGTCTAAGGATTCCATGGAGATGCAGCAACTGCGATGCCACCACACTCGTCCATGTATTCTAATAAAAAAAAAACTGACGCGCATGCATTTTGGCAGGTCACAGCACCATGTTTGAGTGTGGCACCACTGCAGCGTTGGCTCCCACTTCCAGCCACCTGATGGGTTGATAGCTCCAGTTGGACACCACAAATACTGCTTTACCTTCAGTGCATGCTGGGAAGCAACCTTCATAAGTAGACATTGCCAAGTAGTTGTCAATTTGTACTGTTACAAGTTGGACCATTAAAATTTGAATTATTTTCTACAGAATAATGGAGACTTCCAGCTGCCTATTTTGTGGTACTGCACCCAAACAATGAAGAGTGGACGATTAATTGCAGACTAACACGGGTGACCGGATCCCACAAAATGAGTCCGAAGGCCATTTTTTTCCCTGTAATTTCTGGCTTTCAATAGATGGCGCAAACTGCATTCTTCTGAGTGATGCACCACTTACTTTGGTATCCTGAAGAAAATAGACGTTATGCAGGTGGAAAAATAATGATTCTGTTTGATTTACATTTTGCAAGATTCTCTCAAAGGCCTTTAACAAGAGTGGCTCTGGGGACTTAGGCCTCATTTTGTGAGGATGGGTCATACTATACAGGAAGTTGACTTGGTTGCTGGGACCTCTTGCAAGCAAACTCTTTGGAAACAGATTTCGATACAGACTTTCACGTTGTGTATGTACCTTCTGTTGCAGCCTTCTGAGCCTCTTGCATTGGCCACTCAACCAAGCTCTCTCCCCCGCTACACCCCAACACCGACCCAGCAACCGCAGCCGGCACTGCCAGCCAACACAGCCTGGCAGGAACAGCTGGAGCAAAGCCAGCGAGAGCTGGACGAAGCCTTGAAAAAGCAGCAGGTACCCACGCCCATTTATGGGAAAGATTATGAGAAACTTAGCCACAAGGAGTGTTTTAACCTTTCAGTTGGAAGCACACTTGGCAGAGTAGGTCCTCTTAACTAATGCTATGGGACTTTGTATAAATGGTGTTGTATTTTGTTTACGTGTACTTTTCCTATGGATCTTTGAATCCATTGCTCCTATAGAAAGTATGCATGTAAACAGAACATAGGCCTGTTGAATGATGCCGTAGCCACAGTTGAGTTCATTACAAGTCCCTACAAGTCCATCACAAGTCATGCAGTCCCATGCCAGGTCATAAGCTTGTGAAATGACCTGTGAGAACAGTATTCTTCTTCCATTATTTATCTTGTTGATTGTGACTGGTTTTGTGACTGGACTTGCGGAAGGACCCGCGACTGGACTCGCGGAAGGACTCCTGACTTGACTTGTGAATGGACTTGTGAAGGGACTTGTGGGGAGGACTGTGACTGGTCGTGAAAGAAGGACTGGTGACTGGACTTGTGAAAGGTCTTGTGACTGGCCTCCCGACTCAGACTTGTCTTGTGAAAGGACTTGTGGAAGGACTTGTGGAAGGACTTAGAACTGGTAAAAGGTCTTGTAACTGGACTCTTGGAAGGACTGGATTATGTGAAAGGACTTGGACTTGGACTTAACTTGTAATGGCATCAACTAAACCCCTGGACGTTGCCTTTGCTGATACGACCTGGGTCTTACTGTGTGGAGGTGTCAAGCAGAAAATATTTAACAAAGTGATATGATTAATGCATACTGGGCTTCACACTTTAAAAAGTGTTCCTCTTTTAATCATTCGTAGCTCTACCGTTATTATATTATTATTATTAAATTTCATATTAGTGAAATCTGGGAAAAAATGGTTCCTCCTCCTAGGCACAGTGGGCAAGCCAGCAGCAGGCTTTACAGCAGCAGCTGCAACAGCAGCAGCAGCAGCAGGCCATGCAGCAGCAACAACAAGCGATGCAGCAGCAACTACAGATGCAGGAGGCTCTGCTGAAGGCTCAGGCGGCGCCCTCCCCGGCCACGCTGCACGCACCGGGCGCTAGTCCACTCACGATACCCGGCCTGACGAGCTTCGGGCTGGAGGGGAAGGTGAGTCGACCACTGGAAAAGTGCAAGTCGTGCTGCACACTACGAACTGAAGTCGATCGAATATTGCATGACTGACTACAGCCGCCTTTTCATATGTGTGTGCCTTGTGTTCATAAATGCAGCTCACAGAGAGTGTACTTTGGAATTGTACAGGAAAGACACAGGGCAAATGGGCATGGATATGGAACGGGCCAACAATGTATACGTGGAAAGGTGGCCTGAGAAGTGTCTAACATATTTAGGGTAATTTGTATGCAAATTGAACTTGAAGCCAGCCAAAAATTGGACCTTAAGTGGGACAAGACCACTGTGTGGGACTTTCACTGTGGCTAGTCTCGTGTCTTTCACTCAAAAAGAAAAAAAAAGAAAAAAAATACAAGAAAAAAACAATAGTTTAGTCAATGCAATATCTCCTCTACTCGATGCATTGACCCCTCTCATTTTGCCTACAATTTGTATGGATGGCCAAAGTTTGCAGAAAATTGCCCTTGTGTTGGTTTTCGATTTTACTTAAAATTCGTTCAAAACGTACATTCTTCCCATTAATTTTAAAGAGAGTTGTGTTTTCATTAACACCCTGTAATACATGTATTGTTATCTGGTTTTGACAGCTGCGTGGGATTTTTAACACTTTTATGTATTATTCTTTGACATTTGTACTGATGGCCAGCCATAGTTTTAGCAGCCATTTGTAGGAAAAAACACAACTGTAACGTAAAAAGTGCAGACCCTATTGAGCCCCACATCACATGGAATGAAAGAGCACCCTTGCATATTGATTATACAAATATTCTTTTTCAAGCTGTAGTAGGTAATCAATATTCATAACTGCTACGTGATTATTCAGATTTATTTGATGCAAATTTCAGATCCACCAGTTGGAAGCTGAGAAGCGCCGTCTGGAAGCCGAGTTGCTGGTCGCGCAGCAAGCGCAACACCAGCAGAAAACGGCAATGGAAAACGCCCACAAGTAAGTAGCATCCACTCCGTGTTGTGGGATGGGACAGTCAGCCGAAGACAAAGCTGTCTGACAGAAGCTGAACAATTTTTTTTTTCTCTCCCCATCCGCAGAGACTACACTCAGCTTCTGGAGGAGTCGGCCGGCCGGCGCGAGACCAGACTCCGTCAAGAGCATGCGGCAGCACTGCAGCAGTACGAACAGCGGCTCAAGCAGCTGCAGGAGGACCAGGCCGCCCAGCAGCAGCAACAGCAGCAGCGAGTGCAGCAGCTGAACGCAGAGCACAGCGGCCAACTGCAGCAGCTTCAGCAGACTCACAGGTAATTAAAAAAAAAACCACCTTTGGAATTAACCTTGCGTGAGATTACTGTACTGCCCAACACTCCCTTAGGGTCATTTTTGGTTTTCCTTGTTTTCCAGATTTTCAGAAATCTATTTGCTACTTGTTTTTATCAGTTGTTCCAAAATGTAGAGCAGTGTTAAGAAAGTCTGATGCATTCCAATGAGATTTGACCAAGTGAACTTCAGCACATTGGATGGGAAGCATACCCAACGGGAAACCAAACTTGCTCAAACAAATCCTTAGTAATAGCTAGCACCACTGTGAAGTCACCTTCCTTGCCTGATGAAGCATTTGATAAAAATGAAAAGATTTGATCTGCCTCAAACAAATTGTCATATTAGATAATGGAAGATGAAGAAGATACTTACAGAAAACTAGAGGTCCTAAATTTTCCCACAACCAGTTTGTATTGCAAGCTTCTGTAATAATTGAATTTATATCATTCTTTTATATTTTGTTTTAAAAGTTGCAAGATCAGCTTTTCAAAGCTGAATTTAATTGTAATTCAAAAATCACTCTCAGAAAGTTTTTTTTTTCGAATATGAGCAACTACTACACCTTAAAAACCTTCATTTTCATATTTACAAATCAATTTTTGTCTGCTAAGGCTTGCCATGGATGCTGTCCAGCAGCAGCATGAACAGCAACTGCAGCAGGTGCAGCTTGCCGTGCAACGAGAGATGGAAGCGCTCCGCAGCACACAGACACACAGCAAGTAAGTCCCTGCATCTGAAACCTAAAATTATGAACCTCGCAAAAAAAAAAACATTTATGGCAATCAATTTCTGAAATGTGCCTCCCGTTATTATCAGCCAGTGTAGACTCTTACCAACTGCATGCATTCTAACATGTATGGAGTCTGCAAAGTGTACATAATATTCTGCCTGCCCCTCCACCCCCATTTTCGGATCTCCCTTGGGCATTTTGCAAGAACGGTTCTTTTGATTTTCGTAAAACTGGTGTTGCAATGACTGCAAGGCATTAGTGATATATTCTCCAAATGATAAAAAAAGAATAATTAAAAAAAAGATGACATAAGAATGATTAGAAAAATGCACTGCAATAACGTCAGGGAAATTACACCCCCCTTAAAAAAAACCCCTTTTTTATAAAGATATGACAGACATGGACTTACTACGAGACAGGATAACTTTGGTGATGACAGCTCCAACACTCATTACCAAAGACCTTATTTGTTTATGCCACGTTTGCAGTCACCTTCATTCGATTGATGTTTCCATACAGATCCCTGCAGGCTGTGGTTGATCAGGTGCAGTCGGCCAGCAAGGAGCTGGGCAGCCTACAGAGCCAGGTACAGGGCCAACACCACAGCCAGCTTGAACAACGCTCCGTGGAGCTCAAAGAGAAAGACCAGCAGCTGCAAGGTATGCCCAGCGAAACCTGTCAGATGCATTATCTCAAATCTATGAAATTACCAAATCTCTCCCCATCAGACAAAAATCAAACACTTAAAATAGATAGATAGAATCAGATCTGTAAAGTCCACTTATTCTTACTGGTGACCCAATTTTTGACGGAAATGACCAATAACAGCAAGGGAGGCGTGTAGCATGTCTTTTACTTCTTTATTGTAAACTCTTAACGAATCCTTCCAAAATTTGGGTTTATAGGTGTAATGATAGATAAGAAAACTGCGAAACCCAGTCACTGTTGTTTCATGTGAGACTTGAAGGCCCACAGTTTGGCATGGCTTTGGAGAATGTCCAGTTGGTTTGTTTGTCTGTCAAATGTTTGACAGATTCAGGGAGGTTCCCAGCCAATTGTCCAGGGAGTTGAGTTGGATGCTCCAACAGTCATTACCATTTAATTTGTTTTGAATTGTTTAAGAATCGGTATCTGAAGTGGGATTTTGGAAAGCCTGCCTGGAGTTTCAGATTGGTGGTTGATGTTGTTTTATCAGAAATTTTTCCGAGCCCTTTTACAGTTTCCTTTCGTGAGTTCTCTTAGATGCAAAGCTTGACACATCAGAGAACGCATCAGTGTGGGACCAGGGTAGGATTATGATCAAAGTAATTGATCATTGGAGGCAGTGTTTGAATGTCAGTTTGTGTCACGGTCTGAGGAGTAGATGTTCTTCATGCCAAACATTGTCTCTGATTTTTGTCCTAGTCATGGAGAAGCGTTTGTCTGACAAGCAAGATGAGATGAACCAGGAGAGGGCCAGGCTAGAAGCATTGGTCAGCCGACTGGAGGCCCACATCCGTCAGCAAAACTCTCAGCTGGACGAGGTATTAGAAAAATAGGAGATGTCTGAGCAGCATGATCCACCTGTGAATATGCTCAGGATAGTGGCACGTTCCTGGGAGCAGTACCCCGTGTTTCAAATAGAGCATTCCTAAAGGAACGCCCTGTGTGTCAAATGGAGCATTCCAAAAGGAACCCCCCTCTGTTTCCATTGGAGAGTACCTTTATGAACCCTCTGTTTTAAATGGAGCATTCCAAAAGGAGACCCCTGTTTCAAATGGAATGCCCTAAAATGGAAGCAAAAGTTAGAACTCTGACTCTGTGCCTTGGGAGACTTCTCAGAAGTTAGAACATTCCTGTTTTACCTGAAATGCTCCTTTCGGGAACAGTGAGTTCCCAAAAGGAATTGCTGTGTTCCCGATGGAAGAAGGCTGGTCAGCAGTACAGAGTGCAAAGGCATTAACCTCTGTTCTGAAATAGCATTCAAAGTTTTGAGGCACTCCATGTCTTGTATGAAGAACCAAGGCATTGCAAAACTTTGTCATTTCAATACCTTGGGGATACCCTTTTGTGTGACTCTGAACCATAAATGTGCATATTGAAATGCGTACTTTACACATTCCCCCAAAGCTTGCAGAGTCTCGTTTCAGAAATAACCTCAAAACATTTTCTCTTTCTACGCCACTTTGTTTAATCCTAGGAGAGATTCCGTCTCCGCCAAGAGCAGAGTAAGTTGAGCAGCCTTCAGAGAGCTGTTGAGGAGGAGCGTAAGCTAGCGGGAGAGCAGCTGGCCTCCCAACAGGCTTCACTGCAACGGGCCAAGGTGCGTCTTTTTTCTTCTGTTTGGAGAACCTCAAGGAATCATTTATGCCCCCTTCCCATTGGCTCAGTTCTGGAGAGCCCAATTTCGCGTCATAAAACCTTATATTCAATTGACTGTGGAATGTACTGATTGTTTGTTTACAAAGTTCCCTCGACAGGTGTGTTCGAATCAAAACAACAGAGGTGTGATTTCTCAGTGTTTTTCTGGACTTCAGGATTCTTTACTAAAAGTTTGGATTTCTAAACGTTTATTCATTCAGGTTTGATGTCATTTTTGCACTTTGTGTTTAAAAACCACTAAATGCAAGATTGACTCAATCATAACCAAATTTGGAGAAAACTAATGCCAAAAGAGCCCCGAAATGTCACACTATTTTATTAAAGTTATTTTTACCGCTCCCCTGGCAGTTCATTTTGCAGATTTCTCTTCATCCCCCAATCTCATTCCTGAAAAGACCGGCATATGATTGAGACTGTCCCTCTTTCCTCTCAGAAGGACGATCAACAAATCTACTGTATTTCGTATATTGATACCATCACAAGACGGGGCACAAGACCAATCACAAGTAACTGGGTGAACAGTGACAAAGGAATGCTTTTGATGCATTTCATTTGAATAGTGTGCGACTTGAACTCAGACAGGAAGTCTTGCAGATGGTCAAAAGGAGTCTCAAGAACAACACTTTGCATACTCGTTCTAGGAAACCCTTCTTTTTATGTTCAATCAGGATGCAATTCTGGGTGATCAGAAGACCATCATGGCGCAATGTCTAGAGGAACGTAAGGCCCTCGCGGCTGAGCGTGCCCAAGTTGCTGCCACCAGGAGACAGCTAGAGGCGTCCCTCCAGGAACAGGCCAACAAAGCTATGCAGGTGAGCCGATTGGCTAGCTGCTTCCAAGCTATTTGACCTCTTTTCTTGAAGTAAAATTTGGTAAAAGTTAATTAGAGATGTTCAGCGGAGTAGGCAGTTATCTAAGGTCCCTGGAACCTAATTTCTTCATTGTCAGTGAGCTAGATCAGTATCTCCACAGTGCATGTACAAAATGAAGTGCATCGTAGGTCATCCTTGAGCAGCAATACGTGTACAAGGTTGGCCCTATCAGATCGGCCATATTCTGACTCACACGTTCCAAACACGCTTAAACTGACATTTTGTCTCAGTAGGCCTTGCTTTTTTGAAATCTCAAACTGGCTCATTGAATGCACCGTCAAGTTTGAGCTGAACCTTTCTACTTTGCTTTTGATGGATAATTTTGACTGTTTCTGTGGCAAGTCACATGTTGGTTGAAACGTACTACCGCTGTACCGTTTTGTGGAGAACGTGATCATGGCCCAATTTTAGGGCGCTGCTTACCGCAGAATTCTGCGCTTACGATCTCCACTCTGCGCTAACCAGGCTAGCAGAAAAATCCTGCGCTAACCCTTTTAGCGCAGAATCCTTAGTTACGGGATGTATGCATGCGCACAGGCCAAAAATCCTCGCTAACCCGTGAAATGCATTCGCCGTAGGCACAGAATTTTCTGCTACGGTAAGCGCCGATTTTTCGCTTGCAGTAAGCAGCGCCATGAAATTGGGCCCAGATGTGAGGGCTCATCGTCTCATTTCCTCTTGCTCATGGTCAAGAGGGAGTTGTCTCATTCTATCGGTTGCAGCCTTCTGTAGATGGGCTGTTGGGCCGATATGAGAAACTCTGGGCATACCAGGATTAAACCCTGTGTCCCCCTCCCCCCGCCATGTTTTTATCTCGGACACAGGTCGGGGCGGAGCAGGAAGGCAAGCTGGAGAGCCTGGCCGCCGAGCGCAGCCAGCTGACAGCCCAGGGTGCCTCGTTGCAGCAACAGCAGCAGGCCCTGCAGCAGGAGAAGCTGCAGCTGGGGCAGCGGCGGCAGGAGCTGGACGGCGAGCAGCGCCGGTTGCAGCAGCTGGCCGAAACGCTGCGGCAGCGCTCCCAACAGATCCAGGAGGCCGTCGCAGTAAGACAGACTTGTTTTGTTTTCACAACATCACATGATTTGCTTATCAATAGGGTCCAATCAGAAGGTGTCAAAGTACCAAATGACCACACAGTTCCTCAAGGTCAGTCACCATTACCATAAGCCAACAATTGGTCAGCAATTGTATGTCATGCTTTGTATATTTGACAGTGGGGCTTATTTAAAAGAATATGAATTTTTTCATAAAGTTTCATAATGATCACCACGTGTACCAAGTACTGTTGTTACTGTCTCAATAAAAATCTTTACAGTACAAGCTGGGTGTATTACCCAATCACATGTCAATTTGATATCAAAAATATGAACCAAATGCATCATTGAGAAAAGTTCCATGCCCAGATATCACTAGTTATTCCCTACAGTTTATGTCAGCCATCAGAAAGCCATAACATGCCCCAAACAGTTAAATTTAGCAGAGAAAATGTTGAAGCATTTAGAAAACAGAAGTTATTCGACTAGCCTCATGGGGTTTGTGGACAGGGCTCCATGTGACGTCCGTGTATGGAACTCTTTCTCACCATTGCCCTATCAGACGAAGGTCGGGGCGGCAGAGGAGCGGCAGGAACTAGTGCTGGATGTGGCCAGGACTATAGAAGCTGAGCGAAGTGCCTGATCTGTACATATCAATTATGCAATATCTCATCCTGTTTATCGCTGCCTTTCCAGGAAGTTGTCCTGGAAGCAGCCAGAGCACAAGAAGCTGGGTGAACTACACATACATATCGATTGTACAATACCTGATCCTTTTCATCTTTGCCTCACCAGGAGGGTGTCCAGGCCAGGGAGGAGGGTCAGTCGGCCCTGCAAGCAGCCAAGACAATCGAAGCTGACCAGGCCACCAGAGACATGAATCTACAGGCTCAGCTTCAGACATTACGGGCGACTCAGAGACAAATTGCCCAGGTGAGAGAAGCAGTTACAAACTCTTCAACTCGGGTTGTACAGCAAATGCTAGACAGACACTGGCCAAGATGTATATAGAGAGGGTTAAGCCAACTTCAGACTCTGGCACCCAAATGGCTGTTCATTACATGTGCTGTATAACACTCAGATATTGTGTGCTGATTGTCCTTGTGCACTGACGCATAATCCACCATTTTGGTTCCAACAAGTGAAACGCCCATGTCGCAACTCTCTCTAAAATCTGCTCCGGACATTGTTACCTTTTGTCCCCCTCACATCTCTCTAAAAATGTCAGCACAACCTATTTTGGGGTTATAATCTTCTGAAAACCTCAGAAAAGACTTAGACATTGGAGTTTTTACGCAGAGTCAAGAGTTGCTTAAATTTTTTGTGTGTTGAAAAGTAGTACCAGTGCTGCAACATTGGAATCTTTTGAACTGGCATGACACATTAATGCATGACTTGGCATTGATTGGTACCCGGGCACTGAATCCATTTGAGTACAGGGGCCAATTTCATAGAGCTGCTTAAGCACAAAGTCTGTTTAAGGGCGAAAAGAAACAAAGGTTACCAGCTCAAACTCTATTTGATTGTCATGCTGACCAAAAGACAGCTAACTACGATTCCAAAACGATACACATCACATGGAGTTTTGGCTGGTTACCTGATTTATCAAGCAAGGTTTTTCTCGCGCTTAAGCAAATTTTGTGCTTAAGCAGCTCTGTGAAATTGGCCCCAGATAGCCACATCCAATCCAGGAGTTCCTCATCTTTGTCCTGAAATGCTTAGTGGGTTGTTATTTGTGTTAAGTTAAAGGCCTGGAGGGGATCTGGAAATTTGGGGTTATTTGTTTGTTGTTTGCTGATATGCCCGTATTTGTTGCCATTTGTAGGAGCGTTTGGATCTTGCTCGTGAACAGAGGAACCTCGAGCGTCTGAAGGGGTCACTGCGTTGCCAGATGTGTGGTGGTCCTGCAGCACCCCCTAAATCACCAGGTGAGGATGTCTTCAGTGAGCATACACACAAGCCGTTTGCTCTCCTACAAGGGTACTGGAAAAAGTGATGTAACTGCTTGAATTTGATAACCGATCAAAGTAAAATACTATAAATCATTTCAAATTTGTAAATATTTGCCATTGGGTGACAATGGCGGCTGACAAATGGAACGCCGTACAAGGTTGAGATCAGCGTTTCCTGTGGTACAGTTCCCCTTTAGGGATAGTTTTTAACATCTTTCTCTTGAGGTGTTTTGTCTCCCACCCTAGCCTGGTCTACCAACAACAACGTCCTCCTCAACACGCCTCACCTCAGTCGGTCCATGCAGCTCGGCAGTGATGACAGCCCCTACCCAGAGAGGGAGATGGCCCCCTCCAGAGCCCTGACCACAAAAGACGTTGACGCTCTCCTGTCACAGGCCGAGCTGGGCCACAGCCTGAGAATGTGGAAAGTGGAAGCAGAGAAGGTAACCAGCTTAAAGGGTTCCCCTCCTCTGGTTACCCCTACACTGGAGCCCCAACCCAACCCAAAGAGACCCCGTTTTAATCATCCAGTCGCCTATACCCAGCAATCCTTTTAGATATGGCTTGGATGTTTAATGAATTAAATTGAGGGTGATTCTGTTTGTTCATTGGCCAACAGTGCTTTCATATTTTCTCTGTACATTTAAAAAGAGGCTCCACAACAGCAGCAGCTAACGTTTTGCCATGTTGTAGTCGAGACCACTTGAGACCTTCACAAGACCACACAAGACCAGCATAAGACCAACACGAGACCTCCAGTCTGAATTCAAGCCGCAAGCTATTTAAATGAACTGCAACAAAAGGATTCCTTCGGCATTGTTCGCCCTTTTACTTGTGACGGGTCTTGTGTCTGGTCTTGTGCATGGTCTTGTGTCTGGTCTTGTGTCTGGTCTTGTGCATGGTCTTGTGTCTGGTCTTGTGCATGGTCTTGTGCATGGTCTTGTGTCTTGTCTTGTGCACGGTCTTGTGAGGGTCTCGACTACAGCACTGACGTTTTGCACCAGTTGCAATGTTTCTTTCCACATATTGCGTTGCTATGGACATTTTTGTCTTCATTCTGTCTTCCAGCATCATATCCCAGTTCCAGCTCAGGGTAAACAAGCATCTTTTGCATTGAATTAATTTGCCTTTTCCATCACCCACCTTTCCTTTGTATCTCTTTGGTTTCTCGTAGCCCTCACCGTGAGTGGTCTTGAACGGCCTTACATCAGACGACCTGTACTAATATGTGACCCGTCACGACAAAATGAGAGAAATGTCACAACCCGTTCTTTCCTATTTTGAGGGTTCAAAGTCACATTGAAGTGAAAGTCAATTTAGGGGTTTGGTAATATTTTGAAAGAGTAACCCGTCTCCTATTCAATTCTTAATATTTTGTGTGATCATATATTTAAAAATGTTGTTTTCTCCACAATTTTGACAATATCATTATTCGTGCCTGGTCTGAAATGTTCAAACAATGCCAGGAACAAAGATGCAAAGCCGCCAGAATAATGTCACATTATCACTTTATACTTTTATCCAAAGTGTTCCGTGTGCATACCACTGAAATGCTCTATTTCTGCGGAATTCAAAAATACCAATATCTTAATTTTTTACAATTCCGACATTCATTTTGTAGCGACAGGTCACATATTGTCTTCCGACACACACACCAGCGGTGCGTGGAAACAGGGTTGTTGATCTCAGTGGTTGCTTCAGACCGTGCAACCCTGTTTAAGGCTCACTGTCATCATTGTTTGCAAGCTTTTTGCTTCTTTTTTTTTAAAGGACAAGGAATTCTTGGAAGAGGAAAGTATCTTCCTGGAGACCTTGAAGACGCCCCTGCCTGCTGGGTATGTGCAGAAGGCGTGAGGGTGTAACAGGCATAGACTCCCCTTGAATGATGCAGCCAGAGGCTACATACCGTGTACTTTGTTATATTGGAAAGCTGAAAGAAGTTGCACAAGAAGACACCGACTGTCTTTGTCTTCGAGATCAGCACTGGTTCCAATTAACCCAGAAAGACCCCCAGGTAAGGGTTGGAATGGAAGTACGAATGATTTCAAAAGCTTTTTTCCCAGCATCCAATGTTGTATTTTTCTCAGGGTTTAGCTTTTGCGTAGCTTATCTGAGAAAGGTGTTTCAGTAATGTTTCAATTTGGTAAACAAGCCACTCTGGACTTCGCATTTTACTTTTTGGTTTGACTTGTGTTTACTATACAAAATAGGTAGCATAAGATTCATGATACATATGGATGTTTCATGCAACTGTACATAAGTGTACTGTATTCGTTAATGCCTGTTAATTTCTATTCACTATTTAAAGTTTCATTGTGTAGACTAATCCGATTTGACGCCATAACTACGGTGGCGCCGCACTCACACGCACATTCTTCAGCTTGACGCGAGCGTGCACTGACTAATCACGACATCCTATTGGTCAAAGAGGCGTGGAATGCGCGCGTACCACCTGTCCACGAGCGTTGCACCACCGTAGTAATGGCTTCTAATTCCGGTTGTCGAATTACAGTATAGCTTTGCTCTTATGTAATATTTATTATTTTCCATAATCAAAATCTTTTACCCTTAATATAATTGCACATTAAAATATGAGAAATCCGTCCTTCAAAAAACCAGTTGTGTATGATATGAATTTACATGTATGTAGTCTCAACAGTATTCATCCGAAATTTTCCTTCAGTTTTTTAGTTGAGTGTATGAAGTTTTTCAGGATTTGGGTTTTACACGTAGGTTTTACGCCAGTGACACCACGGATAAACTATGTGGGGGATGCATGTGTTTTGTCAAGAAGGCGCTGAAAGCAAAGAAATGATGTTGGGGATAGTGCTCATTTAAAAATTTCATACAGGAGGGAGAACAGGGAGGGGGGAAATGTGCCCCCGTAGTTACACCACTGGATATAGGGGGAGGGGGAGGAGAGGTGTGGCAATGCCGCCCATCCTTCTGTAGCTTATCTGCCATGAAACGTTGCTTGCACTCGTTTCAAATAGTGCAGCATTTTTACGTTTTTCAAGTAATTCGCTGAAACAATAATTCAAGAAAAGTAGAAGTGAAGTGAAGCAAAGACCGTACGTGGATGACGCCAGCCATTGCCTAGAACTCTCCAGTTGGACGAACTTGACTGTGATGCCTGAAAAATATCACTCGTGGCCACTCACCTTGACTCTGTGTCTCCTGCCATGAGGCCGTTCCACTTAGCTGTATAGAACCACAGAGGTTGCAAGGAGCCAAATTGAACAGCCGCAAGCCCGCATGATCAGCCAGTGGAACACTGACGAGCAGTAACATATGTACAGCATGTGGATTGTCTACATGCCTAAGCATGCAGCACGACGCTGACGTCGTGCTTACCCAGGCCCTCATCTGACTGACAGTGGGTTTGTGCGAATTGAGGAAACTCCAAGTACCGACATTGCAAAGGTTTTCCCGTCTCAAAGTGGACCAGCTTTGAGCGTTGCCGTCAATAAGAAGGGTACTTTATTGAAATAAAACTCCATCACGGTACTTCATAAACTTGCTGGACTATAGGTATGTATTCTTAACAAGAACAATGTGTGAAATAAATTTAACTTTGCATAAAGTTGCATAAAATGGATAAATTCATCACTTTTATGAGGGGTG